AACTTCTCTTTCAACTTCAATTGGCACCTCGAGATCACAATCATCTTCTATTATCATGTTATGTAAGAATTTAATAATATTTTATCGGATTATTTTAAGAATTTTAATGGATCCGAAAATGATTTATCGGATTATTAAGCAATTATATTTGTTGTAAGTTTTATTTTATGTTATTTCTTTTGTATGGTGCTTATCTTTCATTTTCTATATGTATGATCTTTTATGTTTATATTATATATATTATGTTGTATAAAAGAGTTCATCAGATGGTTATTTATATAATTAAAAAATATTAACAATAAATTTTAAACTATATATAGTAAAATAATATTAATATACTTATTTATAATAATATTTTTATTAAAGACGAGGCTATTTATATAATTAAGAAATATTAAGAGTAAATTTTCTAATATATAGTAAAATAATATTAATATACTTATCTATAATAATATTTTATTAAAAATGAGGCTATTTATATAATTAAGAAATATAACAGTAAATTTTATAATGTATATAGTACTTATTTATAATAATATTTTATTAAAAATGAAACATATATAAATGTGGAGGACTATTTGATAAATAAAAAAGTTCAACTCCATTTTGGAGTAATGAGTTGGTTTACTCCATATTTGGAGTAATCATGTTTGTTACTCCATTTTGGAGTGAGTTTTGGAGTAGGGTTGTAGAAGATTTTACTGCAAAATGGAGTTTGGAGTGGGTTTTGGAGTGGGGTTGGAGATGCTCTTAGAGAGTCGTTTTCTTTGTGCGTGTGTCTTGTGTCAAAATTAAAAAGGGAGAGTGAAGGAAACCTGTGTCAAAATTAAAAAGGGAGAGTAAAGGAAACCTGAGGAAAACTGAAAATGAGAGTTTTCTGCGATTAAATCTAAGACCACCAACAACTAAGAGCATCTCCAACGGTGTTATCACCATTGGAATCCTTAACAATTTAAAATTCATTTTTTTTTTGTTAGAATAGTTAAGGACTTTAGTCTAATTTGTGTGTCCAATGGTGTTACCCAATATAAAATCCTTAGGAATTTAAAGTTAATAAATTTTTATACAAACAACTCAACATTCCTGCAATACTTGTTAACATATGATCATGCATTGTGCAGGCCTAAAAGCGTCAAAGATCAAAGAGAATGGTACCTTTCTTGCTCAGAAGCCTTGGCCTTACGTTTTTTGTTGCTACCTTGTTCGTCATCACCTAACTCCATCTTAACAGCAGACTTTTTGTCTGGCTCAGGTTGTGCTTTCTCTTTCGGAATAGGGAAACCATCTTCATCTTCGCTTTCCAGAACTGGAGAAAGGTCACTCTCTTTCACAATGATTTGCTTATTTTCTTTCTCATCTTTGCTAGCTTGACTCTTCTTCTTGGATCTCTATGTCTTATCATCTTTGGCAGTGGACTTCTCCTCACCTTCAATCTCCTCAGTTACAACTAGCAAAAATAACCATTCAGGTAGTATTACCATTGCAAAGAAAGATGACAAAAATCACGCAGCAATTGATACATTATAAACACAGATGTAAAAGAAGCTCTGGAACCATGAGGCAAGAGCTTCCACACAAAGAATTGACTGCAAACTAATAAGCTCTGAACAGTTGCGAAAATCAGAACTGACTTTGCATCAACACACAAATGCAGACAACAGTAAGACAATTAAACTGTAATAGCTCCAAATGTATAACAAAGAGACAAAACTCAACATCTCGATTGTAAGAACCAGAATCTGAAACTCTTTCTTAGCTCTTATTGGTTCATGCTTACATTCTACAACCCAGAAAAAACTTTTCAGTGATCAAGATTCTTTTTTTATTTTTTTCAAATCTTGTACTAAAGCATAAACTGTTACTTAACACATATAACAAGGAAGACTTATGCATATATGCATCATATAACCACATAAACAAACAACAGGTTCCAAACTCAATACCTTTATAAGACCACTGTTCTTGTTGAGCTCGTATTTCACCTTCCCACCTTTGCTAATTTCAACAACCTGATTTATATATATAAAAGTCAAATTTCGTTTTAACTCTCAAAATGATCTAATCTTCCACGCAAAAGGAAATAAAGCTTACACAGTTGAAAACAGCAGGAGCTTCCGGACCTACAAGATTTAACAAACAAATTCTTAAGAAAACAATGAACGTTTAGCCATCCACTTCTACGAATCAACAAGAAAGGAAAATTGATGAATAAGAAGATTTAAGAAGGTACCAATCTCCAAGTCATGCCAAGGATGAGCAGCATCTGATCTGTGTGTGAAGGCAGCAAAGTTCCTTTCGTTAAGGGTAACATTAGGGTACCTCAGAGGGGAATTATAGCTCTTGGGGGTTCCTTCATCAGCCATATCGAATGCTCACTATAACTCAAACCAAAACTCATAAGCGCTAATAGAAGAGTCACTCAAGCATATAATAAACTCAAACCAAGCAATGAATCTCAATCTCTGCAATAAACATAGAATAAAACAGAATCTAAATCTTCTTAACCACCATATCAAAAGCGCTAGAGATAAGAGTCATCCAAGCATACTAAGTCATGTTATCATCTAGGGAACAATCTTGCGACCTGAAAGCATCAAAGATAATCGCAAAAACGCAGACCAGTTCTCAATTTCATGAAGTTACCGGATCTAATTCACCTCCTACTCTAAACCTCTACTATCGATCGATCGGAAAAGTAACTGAACGGAGATAATATGCGAAGAACAATCCAAGATATCGGCGATAAGAAAATCAGTGAAACTACTCGGATTTAAACAGAAGAAGATTAACGAATCGACAGAGAAAAGATAATCGTGAGCCATGTCTTGAAATCTCCTCTAGAATCGCCTTAGCTTTTTTTTTTGTTTAACTCAATCGAAAATGAATTTTCTTTTAAAAAAAACAGTATACAGAACGTGCCACGTCAGTAAGGATTGATCCTTATTATTCCTTAGTTAAGGACTAATCCTTGCCAAAGTGAGGTGAATTAATATTTTTTTAATCATAAAGCACTAAGGATTAATGCCTAAGGACTCTCTTTTTTCACCGTTATACATGCTCTAACACCACCAACAACAAACAACACCAATTTGACCAAAAGAAACCAACAACACTTCTAAAAATTTTGCTCTAAAATTCTCCAAGACACCAACAATGTAAAATTATATCCAACCAAAAACCTTGTTTACAATCATAAGCAACTTGAGTTTGAGGATATTAGTTAACTTAATTTAAATTTAAAATCAGAGCTTGACGAAATTAGTGGCTCCCATAGTGAGGTCGGGTCTTGTACCATTGCTGGATTTCGTCTTTCGGAGTCTCGACTCAAACCATCCTAATAGAGTGAAGTCGGTTCCGAACGTTTTTGTCGATGAGTTTGGTTATTAAGTCTGGTCTTGGTTCTTCGCCATGTTTACTGCAGTTTCTTTCCCTCCAAATGTGATAAATTGCAGCCTCAAACGTGTATTGAAATAGAAACATCATCGTGCTCTACAAAGAGTTGCATATGTGATCTCATGATTTCTTTCCCATTAAGTTGAGTGTTGAGTCATAAGGATTCCTGACAATCATCCAAATAGCAGATGACTATTCACATGAGAAAAACAGATGGGATCAACTTTACTCTGCTTTGTGGCAAAGCACGCATTCAGAGTTGTGGTTTGGATTCCAAGTTCTTATTTATGTCTTTCTTTATATCAATAAAGTCTTGATTCAGCTCCATCAATTCTTTCTTTACCACATATATTTTTCAGCCAAGACATGAATCTCTTTACACTACAAATCCATAAAAGTTTGAACACCAACAAAACAATCGAAAACTATTGAGGATTTTGGAATCCAAATCAACAAAGAGTTAAAAAAAAAGAATCGGAATCAAAAACATAATAACTACAATAAATACTCTAACTTACCTGAATGAATAAGAAGAAGATCGGAGAAAACTTATAAGAACCCTAAAATTTTGATTTGGGAATTTTGGATGAGATGAAGAAGAGAAACGAATGTTGTGACGTTTATGGTCATTAATGAAATGCTATGTTTTAGACTTAACGACAAATCGCAGTTTTTAACGTAGGTGTAGAAGGAGGGGTCCAATTGTTAAGATAAGTAACTTGGGGGGAGGGGGGGTTTAAAAAAACTGAATCAATAATCAAAGGGTATATACCCGAACAAAAATTAATTAAGGGGTTTTGGCATTAAAAATCCTAGTTTTTTTTTCATATCAATATAAACATATTTGATTCATACTCAATTAATTAATTTTTGTTTACTAAATCATCTATCTATGTATTATTATAAAGTTGGGTTTTCTCCCTCCTTCTCCCTTCACATCATTAAATAATGCAAGATCAGGTTGACACGTGCTTCTCTCTTTACCTATCTCCTTACGAGATTCCTTGCTACAAAACAATTACTCTTGGGTTTTCAGCTTGGCCCCTCCTCGGGGGGGGGGGGAGTTTCCGGGAGCCAATCTATGAGCAAGACGCAGAGAAAGAGACCATCTTCGTGGAAAAGAAAGACAACTCCAAGAAACGTCTCTGGCCCTTTGACATTGTCGTTAAATGGAGAATCTCAAACTCCAAGCAACACGAAAATGAGATCATCATCATCGCAGCCTTCCACAAGTTCCAAAAATCCCAAGCACACAAAACCTTCGGTGGCTTCCGTATTGAAGCCGCTCCCGTCCCAATGAGCATACTCAGCTGGAACTGTCGAGGGCAGGAAGCTCTGAGACATTTCATCAATTCTGGGTCTTTAGAAGGAATTTTTTCCCGGACTTTATGTTTTTGAGTGAAACAAAACAAAAATTTGAGTCTATGGAAGGTTTGCAAAAAAGCTTGGGTTATGGTCATTTGATTACGGTGGAGCCAGTAGGTTTAAGTGGTGGACTGGCTGTAATGTGGAAAGGAAGTTATACGGTTTCGGTACTCTCAAGTGATAAGAGAATTATCGATTTAGAAGTTGAGTTTGGTTCTATCAGATTTTTCTTAACTTGTGTATATGGTGATCCTGTGGCTGCAAAAAGACAGGAGGTGTGGGAACGGTTAACTTCTATTGGCTTAATCAGAGATGAGGTTTGGATATTGGCAGGGGACTTTAATGAGCTTATGCCCAATGAAGAAAAGTCTGGTGGTTCTATTCCAAGGGAATCTAGCTTCTGGGACTTTAGGAATATGGCGCAAAACTGCAAGATAAGAGAAATTCGCCATAATGGTAACTGTCTATCTTGGGGTGGTTGGAGAGAAAAGGTTTGGGTTCAATGTCGTCTGGATCGAAGCTTAGGGAATGATAAGTGGTTCTCAATTTTCCCGCGTTCGAATATGGAGTATTTGGACATGTGGTCATCAGATCATCATCCCATACGTATTTGTTTCGCGCTTGAATGGGATGATTCAAAAAGAAACAGATTTTTCTTTGATAAACAGCTGATTTATAAATCTGGTTTTGAAGAGATAATAAAACAGAGTTTGGGGGACGAGGTTACATACTCAGGTAACACGATGGAGTGTATTGCTCGATGCAGAGCTAACATTCTTAAATGGAAGAAGAACTCGGATTTGAACTCAAGGAATACGATTATTAGATTATCAGCTGCGTTTGAGAGAGAAGTGGCAAAAGTTAATCCCTTCATCGTATGCAGAGACTTAAACGGGAGCTGTCGGAAGCTATCAAACAAGAATTCTGTATTGGAGACAGAAAGTCGTGAACAATGGTTAAAATCGGGAGACCACAATACCAAATACTTTCACAACTGTGTGAAAGGAAAACGTGTGCAAAACGTATCGATGTTGCTTGATGATCACAGACAAGAGCATTTCTCAGAAGGTTCGAAGGGAAATGTTGCAGTGGAGTATTTTCGCGAACTCTTTAAGAGCTCAACCCTTTTGATATTGAGTCTCTATTCACGGGCTTCAGAGGCCGAGTTTCTCCTGACATGAACACACTGATTACAGCGTCTATTTCTACTGAGGAAATTAGAAGGGCTGCTTTCAGTGTTAAAGGTAGCAGTGCGCCTGGTGAGTATGGCCTTACTGGTGTATTCTATCAAAAATATTGGCACATTGTGGGTTCGAAACTAACAGAGGAGATTGCTCAATTCTTTGAATCAGCGGTGATGCCTGAAGGGTGGAATCACACGCAAATAAGCTTACTTCCAAAGATCACAAAGCCAACAAAAATGCAGAATATGCATCCCATTAGCTTATGCTCGGTTCAATACAAAATCATCAGTAAGATTTTGTGCAACCGTTTGAAAGCTATCCTGTCTCAGATTTTTTCAGAGACTCAAGGAGCATTTGTAGCGGGGAGACTTATCTCAGACAACACTATCATAGCACATGAGATGGTGCACTGTCTACGTACAATCCCAAAGATCTCAGACGAGTGTATGGAAGTCAAAACAGACATGTCTAAAGCTTACGATTGGGTTGAGTGGAATTTCCTTGAGATTCTCTTGGAACGGATGGGCCTTGATAGAGTCTGGATTCGATGGATTATGGCCTGCGTAAGTTCGGTGTCTTTTTCTGTTCTATTGAATGGAAATTCTCATGGTTCATCAAGCCAGAGCGTGGCCTACGTTAAGGCGACCCGTTATCACCCTTTTTATTCATCTTATGTGCTGAGGCTTTGGTAGCAAGACTCAACGCCTCAGAATGCATTCGACTCTCACCTTTTTGTCCATCTGTTCATCATGTTTTGTTTGCCGACGATAGTCTCTTGCTTTGTGAGGCCAATGTCATGGAAGCAGAAGAGCTTATGTCGTGTCTTAAAGCTTATGGGGAAGCCTTTGACCAGGTTATTAAGCTGCAAAAATCCTCTATAATATTTGGTGCAAAAGTCCCAGACGACAGGAAAATGGATGTTAAAGCGGCTCTGGGTATTGAAGTTGAAGGATCTTATATTGGTCTCCTGAATGTTTTAGTGGCTCTAAGGTAAAACTTCTGAGCTTTATTAGAGAAATATTGCAGGGCAGATTGAAGGAGTGGTTTGTGAAATCTCTTTCTCAAGGAGGAAAAGAGATATTGCTTAAATCAATTTGCTTAGCTCTTCCGATCTATGCCATGACATGTTTCAAGCTTCCTAAAGAGATCTGTTCCAAACTAACAAGTACAATGGTTGAGTTCTAGTGGAGTTCTGGAAACAAAAAAAAAAAAATTTCTTGGGTTGCTTCGCAAAAGTTATGTAAGGATAAAGAATTAGGTGGCTTGGGTTTCAGTGAGATTGAGAAGTTCAACCAATCCTTACTCGCCAAGCAGGCTTGGAGAATCTGGTCACAACCGGACTCTCTTGTCTCACGGATCTTACACCATTGATACTGCTCTCGTTCATCCTTCCTAGAGAGGGGACCAGGGAATCGGCCTTC